AGACAGCTAAACTAAAAGAGTAAACACTAAAGTAGAGAAGTATCTAAGAAAGTATGTCTTTTATAGCTAAAATAACTAGGCAGAATAGCTTTTTATAGCATAACTAGCTATTAACACAGTAGAATCTGCTATAATAAAGAAAACACTATATAAAGCTAATTTTAGCTATAACTTTTATTTTATAATATAAGGAAACTAGCCTATAAACTTTTAAAAATTAATTAACTAGTTATTAAACTTATAAAGCATATATAAAAAATTAGCAATTAAAGCTAGATCTAGTTAAAAAATAATAGACTAATATATAAACAAGTTATAATAACCTAGACTAGAAATTTACCTAGAAGATTATATGTACTTTAAAACTAAGAACTTTAGAATACCTAGACCCTCTAGAAAGCTAGTAAAAAAAATTAAAACCTTATAAAGTTTTACAGACTTAATAAGACAACTATAAGCTTAAGCTTCTCTTACATATAAAAATACACCTATAGTTTTATAGTTTTAGACTAGAAAAAGCATTTAAAGAAATCCTTTTATCTATATAAAAATAAAAAAATAAGGAAACCAAGTGTAAAGTAAAACACATTATTAGTAATTAAAAAAATAAAAAAAAGTTTTTAGTAAAAGAGAAAAAATAGCTTACTAGTAAGAACATATAAAAACTAGCTAAAAACCTGCAGAATGCATAGTAGTTAGTGTAAGAGTACTTTTAAGCTTATTTAAAAGAAACTAGCTAGGTAATAAGGCACCTATTTTAAAAAAACAGCTATGTTATTACTAAATAGCAGTAGTCTTTAGAGACAAGTCTTTACTAAAAAAGGTTAAAAAAGTAAATAACTTTTTACTTTAGCCTTAAAAGCTTTTATCTTGTCTAAGAAGAAAAAGTCTCTTTTTAAGTACCTTATATGTTAAGCTTTTAATAGATCTAGTAATTTTTAGATATAATCCTGTTTAGAACACTTCTTATCTCTTGCCTCTAACATCTTTTTTAGCAAGCAGATCTGCTCTTAAGCTTGCACTAGCTATTTCTTTAAAAGCTTCTAGTTTTAAGCCCTTAAAGCCTTAGCAGACTAAAGAAGCTCTTTCTACTCCTTTTTTAAGTGCTTTTAGGCAGCATTAGACATAAAAGTGTTGCACTAGTTATTTTTTTTTACATACTCTACGCATTTGTCTAATAATAAGGTTAACATGTAAGATAACCTTAATAACTAGTAAGTGCTATAGAGTTGCATCTTTGTCTAGTAAAAAAATTAAAGCAAAAAGCAGTATAAAGATAATAAGATAAATAGAACTAGTAAGCTATTTAGTCTAAAAAAAGTAAATATAAGAGATGCCTTCTAGTAGGTAGACACTTACTTTATAAACAAACTCTTACTAACGTAGTTGTGTAAGCAGAGCGGCAAGGAGGCTGCTAGAGAAGAAGGGCAGCGTGTTATAGTCTATAGTTAGACTAATGTAACTCTACTACAGGTGCTCTACAATCTAGCTGGGTTAGAGCAGGGCTTGCTTATAGACTAATTAGAAGGCACGGAGGCCGCGCAGCTGCCTGCAGTTATAGAAGACTGCGTTGTCTAGTAGGAGCAGCAGGCTGCGAGTCCTAATAAGCTAAGCAAGTTAAGCAAGCTAGCAGCACAGGCTAACTTAGGGAACTTACCTAACTTGTTCTTAGCACTCTTTAATACATATATAGTTCTAACCTTAAATAACCTTTAGAAGGTGTGTTTAATATTTAGTTTATTTTTTATATACACTAAGTAGCATTTTAGCTTTCTAAAGAGCTGTAATACTATTTGTATATCTGCACTATATATACCTCTAACCCTGTCCAACAGGACTGTTTGACCCAGCCACCATACTGCCGCATAAGGGCAAACCATGATCCGGTCACTCTACCTCACTCCATTAGCCCAATAGCCTTTACGTAGGACTGTACACCCTGCCGTTGGCCCCTACTATCCGTCCTACCCCATCAGGAATATCATTGACCCGAGTGCTTCCACGAAGCAAGGATTGTAACAGAAGCAAGGATTGTAACAAGCTTAAGAAGTTTGTAAGAACTAGTAGCCTGCTAACTTACTAGACTTTAATCTAATTAAGAATGTTTAGCAGATGCTAAAGTATAAGCTAGGGAAGTGTTGTCTAAAGACTAATAACAATGTACAGCAGTTTCTAAAGGAGGAGTGGGAGAAGATTAAAATTAACAACTATAAGAAGTATATTTAATCTATGCAAGAGCGCTGCTAGGCAGTTATCTAGGCAGGTGGAGGGCATACTAAGTGGTAGATGACTATTTAATGACTTTTTGTATATAATCTCTATAGAAAATTACATTTCTTAGTTAGAAGCCTAGTGGGGCCATGGTCCAGGTGACGCTAACAACCCGCTTATGAGAAGGCCCTGTATTTAGTCGCACCTCGCCCCCGTAGCTATCTTGGTAGTTTTCTGATATCCTTTTGTACAAGGCCTATAGGTGTCAATGGCATTCTCAGGTTCAGAGTACCCACGCACTCCTATATGCCTCTGAGTGGATTCCCACCGCATTCGGACCCATTGTCTTGCCTGTGCCGTTACACTTAGAAGTTTTAGAAGTTTTGTCTAATCTAAAATAGTATTAGCGCAAAATCATTTGTGGGGCGGCTGACTTGTGAGATAAAGTCCTAGGACTCTGGGACTTGGGACTCGTGACCTGAGTCACGTGACTGCTTACTTGGTCGAGGCTTGGCGCTGGGCTGATACCTGACGCAGGCGTCGTGTTGTCCTATCATTCTTAAACGCCGCCATCCCTCGACATAGGTTCGTACTAGGTGTTTCAAGAAAATTTATTTCTCACGTGATGCCAAGACGCTAGTACACCGCCCTGGCAGAATCTCGAGAAGCTCAGCACTACTGTGTTTTAGCGTGTAATGCACGGCCTCGCGTAATGCACAGTTCTGCGCGAAGCTGTCAAAACTTCAACCACCTCTCTCTCAACCAATATAGGCAGTATTAAGGCCGCTTTAGAGTCGCTAAAATTGCTAAAACCTAGAGAATCACTAAATTATGCTGCAGTAGCTAGGCAGTATAGCGTTAATTAATCTACGCTCTTAAGGCGTTACTAACGCGTTACCCGCCTACGTGCAGAGAAACTTAAAAATTAGTAACTACTTAGCCTAGTGCAGAAGAAAAAGCTAGTAGAGTATATTAATAGACTTTACATAAAAGGTCTATTCTTTTTAAGATAGATAATTTAAAATTTTGTAATAAAAATAAGTAGTAAGTAAGCTAGTAAAAGCTAAGTTAATTAATTTATTAAAAGGCACTCTATTAACTTATTATCTTAATAGACATCTAGCATAAACGCTGCGCGTAACAAAGCTAACTTAGCATTTAAGTACTTGCTATATTTTAAGCTTGTACACAAAAAAATTAAGCAATATAGCATAGAACTACAGCATACCTATAATATAGATAAAAAGGGCTTTCTAATTAAAGTACTGTTAAAAATAAAGCAAATCTTCTCTAGACAGCAGTATAAGCAAGGTATTAAGTAGCAGCTTATACAGAATAGCAATTACAAGTAGATTATAATAATAGCCTACATCTACGCTAACAGTAGCTCTCTTACACCTACACTAATCTACTAAGCTGTTTTTAACTATATATAAGACTCTTAGCTATAAAATTTTAACTTTTTTAAGCATTAAGCTTTCTTTGCCTTATTACTTATAAGTTAGATAAATAATAAACTAGGCCTAGTATAGCTTAAATATATGTTTAATTATAAGACTAAGGTAAAGGTGTAATAAGTGTACTAACTTTTATTTCTAGATAGCTATAGATTACATGTTTTAATAAAGTTTATTAAGTACTGCAACAATAATAAGATCCTCTTAGCTATATACCTACTACATGCAACTTATATACTGCAGCTTTTTAATGTCTGCATGTTTAAACTTCTTTTGTTAGCCTACTTAGCTAAGCTAGCTAGCTTTATAAATAAATGCTAGAGACTATTATTAATTAAAAAAAAAAACTTTTATAGTGTGTTTAATAAGGCCTAGAAAACATCCTTTAAGCATAAAACTATCTTTAGTGCTTTTAAAATAACTAGTTTATTACTATTTAAGCTGTAAGTAGTCTTAGATTAATTTTACTATAGGTAAAAGAAGTAACTATCCTCTAGTAAAAGCACTAGCTTAGCGCTTAGTGCAAAGAATTAGAAGAGGGTTAAAGGCTTTTTAGACAAGGTTGTTAGTAATTTTTATAAAAAAGACATATAAGAGCTTAAGAAGACTGTCTAGTTATTCTTAGTGCGTTGCATCCTTCTTTAGCGTGAGCTTAAGCAGGTTAAAAATGCGCTAATTAATAAGAAGAAGCGCTGCTAGTGTAGTAAGCCTCTCTTACTAAAAGCACCTTTAGAATATTATAGTAGTGCAACCTTCTAGTCCCTAAATAAGGTCTAAGAAGCATGTAATTATTAGGCATAAAGAGATGCTAAGAAGAAGGCTCTACAGCTTTAAAAATAAGAGAAAGCAAAGCGTAAAAAAGCAAAGAAAGCTAAAAAGGCGCGCATAGTTAAAAAGAAAAAGCATAGAGTAGTAATAGCAAAGAAGGCTTACCTACAGGAGCTTAAAACAAAAGCAGCTTAATAAGAGGAGGCAGAGCTTACCTAGCAGGTTAATTAATAGCTTAAAAATAACCTCTAGCAGGCAACAAAGGGCAAGCAGAAAGCTCCTACGCCTATTGCTAGTACGCTAGAGGATTTTAATAATGATGCAGCATTAAATAAAGAGAGGGAGCTAGCATTAGGTAGGACTTAACGCAGCAGGCAAATTAACCTCTCTATAAGGTATTATATATAAATTATTGCTAGGAATAGAATCTATAGCATTTAATTAGTATTATAATAAAAAATCTATATAATCTATAATTTGTGTGAGTCTCTAGAGCTTTAAAAGTAAAAGGCGCGGATTGCCAAAATCGTGCATTACGCGAGGCCGTGCATTACGCGCTAAAACATGGTATCAACACCAAACTCTACCAACTTCATGAGCTCTATAACCGCCCACGGGCGCTGTAGAGGGGCTAAAACTATTACAGTCAAACAGCGCGCGGCTATTGTTACTTTACGCTTTTGTTGTGATCTCTCCTACCCAGAAATCAGCTCCCAACTCTCTATCAATGATAAGACGTGCAGCAACATCTACAGAGGGGTGGAACGGAGAGTAGGATGCGAGAACCCCGACTCTTACCCAGCTCCTGCAGGTTGTAGGACCTATAAAGCAGACGGGGCGCCCAGTCAAGGTACAACAAGAGAGCTCACTATCAGCAGAAAGATGTTTTGCGATTTTACGACCTCAAACCAATAGACGCTGTATCGCAGGCTCTACGCAAACATGAGATAACGTTAAGCCCACCTACCATCGAAAATATCATGCTTAACCACCGAGGTGAGCGCCACCCCTACGCAATCGTACGAGGCTCGCAACTACAGAAACCAGCTCTTAACGAGGAAGCTCTCTCTAAAAGACGTAACTATTGCAATTGGCTTATACGAGAGGACAGCCTACACTCTCCACATTTTTTTTTGTATGCTATGATGAGACGTCTAAATCTATTGGAGGCACTAGGACCTGTTACAAACCACGTATTTCTCGCCCTCGAGGTGCCGATCCCTATACGTACGCCCGCCCTACCGAGCCTCCTAAATTTACATTCATGATTTGCGCTGCTACCTCTACAGATACCAACTGTAAGATGGATAGGCCTTGTATCATCTGGGAGGCGGATACACCTGAGCAATCGCAGGATCTTCGGATGAGAGTTACTACAGCCAACCAGAGGAGTAAAGAGCGTATCAAAAACAAACAGCTACAAGCAACTATACCAGACACTGCTGAGGAGCGCGCTCTCCGAGAAATCAACTCCAACATACAGCGAGAAAATGTGGCAGCAGTAGCTCGCAATCGAGAGACCGGTAAGAAGGGCCCTTCTCTCAGGAAGGGCACGCGCCATCAACTCAAGCCTGAACAATTCTTCAAACAGGAGGAGTTTCTATACAAAGAAGTGAAAGGCATAAGCGGGCTTTGGTACGCAGAGAGCATCCTCAAGAAACACCTATTCCCGTACTACAACTCCGTACGAGAGCACAACCCCGGCAAGCGCGTCTACTTAGTACAGGATAATGTACATCTCCACAGCCTAGGCATGCGTTACTGCGCTCCAGAGATCGAAGCTCAGCAAATACTCGTAGCTCCACACCCAACCAACTCACCCGATCTGCATCTAATTGAGCTCTGTTTTGGTGAGTTAGGGCGCCGTTTAAATGGCTTGAAGGTTCAATCTAGTGGCAAGGAGGCGAAGGAGATGGCTACAAGGTATATACAGGAGATTTGGCAACATGATGAGGAGATGCGACAGTTCATGGCGGATCACCTCCATCCTACAGCCTGGGTTGAAGTAGCTGAAAAGTGTATACGAGCTAACGGCGACAACAACTTTAGAGGATAATTAGAGCTCAATCTCGCATTCAATTTAAGCCAAAAAGCTTGCAAAACGCGTACTATTTGACGACTTTATCGCTATTTGACGATGTCGACTTCAGCTTTGATGATGGAAGCCCCACTTATCACATGAGCAATTAATATTCTTGAAATACTGAGTAACAACAACCTGGCCTAACGTCCATCCCTGCGTGCCGAGAAACCCATGTTACGATCCAACTGTTAAGCCCGTGGCTTGAACAGTGATCATACTAGCCGAAAGGGGCTGGATATAAATAAGCTGTAGGCAGGGTTGACTCGTAGAGATTGAGCAGGGCAACTAGAGAAAGCACGAGTGCAATAGAGAGTATTGAATAGACAATCTGTTCTGATTGCAAACAAAGGTAACTATCAAGTTGTGCACGAAATGCCATAGGGGGCCTTTCATGGTTCCTATATACATCTCGGACATTCTTTTACTCGATTCTCCGTCGCTCGTTTAGCTAGTTCCCGCTGCAAGGCGGCCCCTGCGGCTTGCCGAACATCGTGCCGGAGCCCCCGATGGCGCCCTCAACCCCTGAGCGCGTTCCATCAACACCACCTCCGGCCCCGCCAGCCCTGCCGAAAGGACGCATCCGAAGACCGAGTGCGAGAGTGCGAGAGTGCGAGAGGCCCAGCAATCGCTAGGAACACGGACAACAGCGCTGCGGACGACGCGGAGCAGAGCTGGAGCAACCACGCCGCAACTGACTCAGAACGAACCACCATCGACAGCACCGCAAGCACTGCACAGGGTGGAACTTCGATATACACATACTTGCTCGATCTCTCAGGTTTGGATACACTCTCTTTATTTCCTATGTTGATCACAGTGTCAATTTAAGGAGAAATTGGCTCTCATGGTCGGCAATTGAATTGGAGCCGGCACACCTGGTGTAAGACTACTTCAGTAGGCACACCGTAACGGCCCATACCTCTAGGGTGCATGGCCATAATAGAACTCACACAAACACCCTTTGTCTGGAAACAAACTGGAGTGGTACGGATGGCGTTTGGCCTTTTGATAATTTGGTACTTGTACCCGGCTCATGGATGTAATAGTCCGCCAGTTAGTCGTTAATACAAACAAACAAACAAACACACACAAACACACACATTGAAGGAACCATAATTTTTCGGCGTGCATGAAGGAAGTCTTTGAGGGTCGGCGCTGTCACAAGGGTCGGTCGACGCTTCCAGCAAAGCCTCCAGCCACGATATATAAGCAGATCCGACCAGGTAGCCGGAACGGGACCCACTGCGGAAGCCAAAATAGGCCCTATGGCTAGCCAGACACAACCGACAATCAGCATATACAGGGCCCTCTCATGAGCGGGTTGTTAGCGTCAGCACAGCCATGATCTGTGCATTGAAGCGACACAAAGCTTCTAGATAAATTACATTAGTTTATATAACGTGTTTTATCAGTAAGCTGCGGACATCAGTAAGCTGCGCACCCCACCAAACCGCGCGAAACCGCGTCCACACCTTTAACTATAGCTTAACAACCACAAGCTTAATCTCTAGCAAAAGAAGGCAGACTTTAGCTTGCTTTTGTTTTAATTAAGTCTAACCCTTGTTTATTAATTTATGCAGCTGCTGCAGCCTATAACATACTAGAATCCACCCTCTGAACGCGCCTCTGTGGTATCCTCCTAAAACGCGAGACAATCTTAGTTAACTGTAAGCTATTGCCTATTAAAGAGCAGTCACTTGTCTCCTAGATCCTAGATCTTAACTAACACAGCTTTCTACCCTATATTATTAATGTGCGTTAAATAGCAAACATTTTACTTTAAGCTTGTTACTAAGATCCTCTACTAACGCCTATAGGCAAGTGCTAGGTATTGCGCTTTGTTAACAGCTAGGCAGAGCTTTAGACAAAGTAGGACAGGAAGATACACTTCTAGCGCGCTCTCTATTAGGATCTAGTTAAGTTTAGAGCCTAGTTTAAGCTAGTAGAGAACACACGTTAGACATACAGGATACTAGACAAAAATACTTATAATTTTAATAAGATAGAATTTATAATAGGGGTTGCTAGCACGTCTAAGGTTATTACTAGCTCTAAGACTGTTAGTTAAGCAGTTACTGTACAGCCTAGTAATTATAACTAAGTTACTATAATTAAGTGTATTAACATGTCTAGCTAGTTGCTCCTACTGCTTATTATCTTATATAAAAAGCTCTACTAAGCTAGCTAGTATTATAATATCCCTAGCAACTAGACGCTTGCAGTAAGTAATAACAGCTAGACAACTAACTACCTTAGCCTAGCCTAGCTTAAGCACTTTAATAAGTAGACAAGGACGCGTACAGCAGGAATCTATTACCTACTTATAGTAGATAGCTACAGCAGCTATGTAACGCCTAAGTTTAATTAGTACTGTATAGAGAATAAGATTATTAGTCTCTATATGCTAGCTTATAGCTTTTATCTCTTACAGCCTCTAGATGTTAGCTGTTTTGCGCCTCTTAAGTAAGCGTATAGACACTAGGTGTTAGAGCTTGCTTATAATTAGATTTTTTATATTAATAAGTAAGACTTTCTTAGAATCTATAAGCATATTAGGCCTATAGTATTTATAGAGTAGATAATTAAAAGCAGCTTTTAAGTAGTAGGTTTAGTCCTACACTATTCTAATTATGTCTTATTGTTGCTTACTATTGTCTGTACACTGTCTCTACTAGCGCAAGAAGCTAACAGTGAGACGCGCTAGACTGCAGAGACGCCTTATATAGTTGCTTAGCTGCAGCAGTAGGCTTAACTAATTTATAACTGCCTTAGTTATTAATTATAGAGCTTTACTAGCTAGGCACTAGCTTAGCTTATTAAAAAATGTTAGATAGTAATGCACTTAGTAATAATTCTTATAAAAAAGAACACTAAGCTGTGTTAGGCTAACTATTACTAAGAGCAGAAGAAGCAACAGCAACAGCAGTATATTGCTACAGGAGGGACTCTCACAGGCTAGGAAGGTTAGAGGCTGGCTGCAGAGGCTAATAGGTTAGTTAAGGTAGATGCGCAGGCTTAGGCATCGCGGGCATATTAACAAGCACTACTAACCTGCTTAAGGTACTATGTACAAGGCTATAAAAGGAATTAATGTAGAAGCAATTAGGAATATTTTATATATATACTTATATAGGTTTAATTTAGTTGCTGTTTAGTTATCTGTTAAAGAGGCGCGCGCGGTTTAGTAGGGTGCGCAGCTTACTGATGTCCGCAGCTTACTGATAAAACACGTTAAGGCAGCCTATACAACTAAGATGTAATTTTTCTGCTACAGTTGTCTACTAAAATGCTAAAAACACCTAGCTGTTAACTTACCTACAAAGAACGCATCAAAATTTATACACTAGCTAAGCTAGGATGGAAGCAGACAGCTATCGCCTGTGAGCTTGGTATACGCTAGAGTACTATCTCTTATTGCCTTTGCACGCCATGTACCCCTACAAAACAGGAGGGCAGAAACCCTATACTAGATACACTACTTTAACACTTCCTTATTTACTATGCTACTTAGAACACTAAATAATAACAAAAACTTAAAAAGAGATAGCCTAAGAGTTAGGGATTAACGTCTGCTGTTAAACACTAATTAAAGCTTTTAAGAAGAAGCTATACTGCTGTAGGAAGGCAACGCAGAAGCCTCTCCTTACTATAAAGCACAAGGCTGTAAGGCTGTAGTAGGCATAAGAGCACCTTAGCTAGTCTAAGGCTATGTAGGATAGAGTAGCTTAGGCTAATAAGATGTTAGCTGTAAGGCCGGATGTCCCAGAACGGGCCAGTATGGCCTCACCTGACCTGTTTGGAGGTTGTATGACCTGTGCTTTGTATATAAGCATAAATCCTAACAAGCAAAGCTTAGCAGCAATTTGTCTCTCTTACAATACACTTCTATCTTTCTCTAAAGGTGTGCTCTTAGTGCTATCTATGCTACTTACTATCCTATCTTTACATTTAAATCACTCTATAAGCTAGCATACTGCTTAAAGGCAACATTCCCACATAATAGTGTTAAAGTAAAACGCTAGGGGAAAATTAGATGTAACTAGCGCTTAAAGACTACCTAAAGAGCTAGCTAAAACTACTACTTCTAGTAATACTTAACTAAAGTTAACACTAATGCAGGGAGGAATAAAGTAAGAGATAAGTAAAGGGGATAATAAAAATTTTTATAAATTAGGCTTGTTAAGCTATCTAGAAGGTAATTAGGGCCTAGAAGAGGTTAGAAGGGCTAGTGCAGGACTAAGCAACGCACAGTCTACCCCTGTAAATTAGGCTTTAGCAGAAGCCTACGCCTAGCTGCAAAAGCAGCAGGAAGTGTAAAAACTAGCTAAGATAATAAAAATTTATTATTAATTTAAAGTAAGTAATATAGACACGCTTAATAAGTTACTAACTAAAGTATTAAATATTATTATACTAAAACTTACTTAAGACTAAGTAAACCTACTATGTTCTAAACTGCTGCTCTAATATAAAAAGAAGAATAAGGCAGACTACAACTAGTAATGTAGAGATAATAAAAACTATTATTAAAAGAGTTTATTAAGCTTTACTTAAGAATTATAAAAAATCTCTTTTTACCTATAATATATTAATAAGATACTATAATTACTATAAAAGACACACTACACTTATTTAAAGCTTATTAACTTATTATAGTTACTAACATAGTAAGATCTTAAAAATAAGATGCTTAATGCATTAAGTACTTTAGTAGAATAAAAAAAAGTAGCTTATAATACTATAAAAAACTATAAATAATAACTTAACTAGTTTTTAACTAAACTTCTAGCCTACCTTAGGATATTATAGACTAAAGTTAATAAGAAGAGCTTAGATAAGATAATAGTAGACTTTAGTAGCGCACTATCTAATAAGATTAAACATAATCTAACATATATTCTATAAAGTAAGCAAGAGACACTAGCTTAGGTAGAAAAGCAGAGTAATATATTCTACTACTGCCTATAAAAGAGAAAAGGGCTAAAGTTAAAAAAAAAAGAATATAAAAGTGTTCTACTTTACCTCTAGCTAATAAAGACCTAAAAAAGCTTAAAAAAAATAAAGAAAGCTTTTAAGCTAAAAAAAAAGCTAAAAAAAAGTAAAAATTTAATAAAATAAAGGTTACTTGCTAAAATTATAAGTAACTAAGTTATATTTCTCTAGAATATTCTATAAAAGATAAAAATAAAGATAAGTTTAATAAAAATAAGTAAAAAAAAAAAAGTAAAGCTAAAAAAACTAAGCTTCTTTTTTCTAGCTTATATTACTTTAAAAAGTATTAAAAAAAAGCTTAAAAACTTTTAAAACTTATTATACTTAAAAAAGTAACTTTATTATTAGTAATAGTAAGCATAAGGTTATTAAAAGACTTTTAGGCTAGAGTAAATAAAAAAGCTTAATTAAACATCTTGTCTACTATAATAGCTAAGGAGCAGGATCTTAAGATTAAGCTCTTACTAGGTGTCTTTTTAAAGGCACCTAATAAATTAGACTTTACTGTCCACAGCTTTATAGTTATAAACATAAAAATTATAAACTCTTAAGAAAAAGTTTAGACTTATAAAGTGCTATTTATAGTAATAGACCTAAAAAGACTTTTAATATATTTAGGTTTACCTTAAATTAATTAGTTTAATCTAAAGCTAAACTTATATATAAGACATATATTATTTAGTGGTGTAAAAGACTATAGTGTGCTAAAGTACACTAAGGTAGCCTTAGAAGACATAGCAGAGTTTAAGTAAACTATATAGAGTTCTAATGCAGATGTCTACATCTATAGCGTGCTATTAAATAATGTAAGGCCGAGATGGTGCTTACGTGCGACGGGTATATATACTATTCCGTACGCAATAATTAACTGTTGGTTAATTATTTGCACCTTTTTAGTTGTATTAGCGTAGTGGTACAGAGCTCCGTCCTTACATAATAATCAACTAACGACGAGGACGGTCGCGCGTTCAACCCACACCTTGGACAGCTTAGCCAGTTTTTAGACTGAAACGTGAGGCGGCCTCTTCT